GTACTCTTAGGTAGCAGAATCTCTGAACTGCTTTCTCTCATGGTCGTTTACTTGTAAGTAGTGCGTGTAATCATTACGTGGTCGAGTGGCAAGGTTTGGTGGGCGAGTCTCAGTTTGAGAATGTTTGAATTACTCCTTTGCAGTATTTGCTGAGTTTCGGCCGATATTTTTCGAAAAGTTATTTTACAACTGCTTACATAGAACTTACGCAGTTGCGACAAACATGTTAGGATCAAGTTAGAGGATATTTTCACCTTTGTGTGTTTAAATGTGGATAGCAAAACTTCCTTTGGTATAATTTGTGTCAATTTATGTCTGTACTGACATTTTTAATCAGTTACCAAGGGCTGCCGGATAGAAAAAGATCGTCAGATATTTTGAATGAAAGAAGATTGGTGTCACGGGGATAAACAAACTTTTAAAAGCCTCCTTAGGGCTTTATTTTAACTGCTGCGTTCTCATGTGAAGATGGAATACTGATAAGAAGAAATTAGAGCTACGATTGTTTTCTGTAGAAAATCAGTGCAAGAAAGCGTAGAATAAGGGTTGAGTTTATTAGATTCCGACCCTAACTTTTTTCGTGAGCCATAAAAACAAACGTATAACTACCTAAAAATAGACAGAAATGAAAAGAAACCAGAATTTCAGTGACCCCGGCAATATAGATTACAAGCAGCCCCCATCTTTAGCTTTGACTGTCAATTTAAAAGAAATCCCCAATAAATGCCGGGGGGCTGCCATTACTACAGGATAATGTGGTGTTATTAAATGAGTTGACAATGCATTTTGGCCAACGTATAAAGTTCCTAATGCTGACGTTTCGTACGTTTTCCTTCCATCAGAGGAATTTTGGGTTGTGCGTGGTTCATCTACGGAAGAAAAGAGCTACGCTATTTCTGGTGACATGGTAACGTAAAAACCGGCTGCCTAGATGTAGGGAAACGTCGTGGACTGTCATATCGTACTAAGAATGATTCGAGAGATAAAGAGTTTAGCAACTGGTTTGGATGACTGCGTCTTTTCAAATCCTTTCTTTGTCACGAAGTTGTTCTTGAAATCGCTCGCCAGGTCGTCTTCTTGTTTCGCTGATGTCTTAGATTTCAATCAGTGCAAGTTAAGTAACGGATGACCCTGGCTTGGATACAGAAGAAGTGATCAGTGATTACTGCACTTGTACAAACCTAAGTATCACTCATTGTTTGTACTGCTATAAAGCCTACTAATGGCGCTGAGGGGGCGTTAATACCGGCAAATAAGAACACAGACCAGTCTGTGTGGGATTTTGACCCAAATGTAAGGAAAACAGATGAAGATTTAGATAAAGTTATGCACGTAGTTTATCTGCGTCAAAATAAATTTAAGACATATGTTGAGGAAGACCTCGACTTGAGCTCTCACGCAATCATGGAGACCATTGTCTTCTCAAATGAAAATAGCCAGAAAGGAGATTGACGCATTTCACGTGAAGAGAATTTCCCCTGCTATATGCTGTAATTTTCAATTGTCAAAAAAAATTTGTTCTTTAAACTCACGCTACAATATGCACATCTGATCTAATTTCACCAGCCAGTTTATTGTTGGTCATTATCAAGTAAAAATGTTCTATATGTAGTATCATTCTAGCTCATTTAGTTCTCGAAGCGAATGTTCGGCTCGCTTTAAAAAGAGAAGACTGTTAAAGAAAACAAGTCAAGGTTTAACATAAGCTCTACAACTGAAAACATGGCGTCATGTACATATTTTTCATAACACCTTTCTGGAACTTGTATTTGGAGATAATGAATGATGTTATTGCTTCCATTTTGAAATCACTGGTGATCTTTGAAATCTGATTGGCTCTCAGGAGTATGATTTACTTACGAATCGCACTATTTTTGCTCTAAATGGCATTTTTGGTCTGAAATTATACTTTTGATTTAAAATCAAACTTACACTGCGTAATGCGCACTCGTTCGGTTAGTTGAAATCACGTATATGATATGGCACTCCATTCAGTTCAGTTACCATTATGAATAAGATTCCGATTTCACGCTGGTATTCAGAATATTTTTATCTCTTTCAGATAAAGCAAGTATCGCGTGAGAGTTGCTGATCAACATTTGGCGTCAAACACATGACAGGGTTAATCACGGAAAGGTACTTAAGATACGTAGACGACAAAAGCAATAGAAAAGGTTGTGGTTATTCATCGTGGTGAATTCAGGCGATGAAGAAGACTGGCAGTATGCAGTCGAAACGTCGCGATCTACATCACACGTGACTACGTCATGAGACAAACGAAAAACTTAGCTTTTATTGACAAAAGCAATGTCCAAAGTCCCGCCCCCCTCTAGGAGACTGCGACTACATATTTTGAATTTTGAGGAAATATTGAAAATTTTCGTATTATTGTAACAGGTTGCGACGGCTATTTATCAACTGGTTCATACGTCAGCGTGCTTCACCGATATATAGAGAACGCGGGAAGTTTATGCTTCCTGCCTAGATGAACGAACGCTGACGTATGAACCAAATGTTTTTTGTCAGCTGTGCATTTAACAAGATATGAATCACTTAGAAATTTTAAAGAGAACTCAAGAAGCTTGAGTTGCTTGAGGCGCCACACGGGACCAATTTCCACCTTTGATTTACTGAAGGCCTTTGGTTCAAAGGAAACAAAGAAGTCTGTTTGGACGCCAAAAACAACGAGAAAGTTTTTAGTATTCTGACATTTTTCAAATTTCCTATTTAAAATGCAGTTTAACTGACTGGTTGTGCCACTTTAAGCCTTTATTTCTCGCTACGTGTTAAAAATGAAAGAACTTCAGTATCTCCTGGCTAAAGTTCCTCAAGCTTCTCACCAAGAAAGAAAAGGTTTTTATTTACTTTCCGCGATTTCACCTTTCATTTGATAGTTTTTTTTCTAAATTTAAGCGTTTTTAGCACTTTCTGGGGACAATTTTGACGAAAACTCCATGAAAGCTTAAATTCAAGATTTCAAATGGAGGGGCCGGTTATTTACAAGAACTCCGACACAAACCTCAGGTTTTATCCGTATGATGGTTGATTTAATTAAATCAATGTCCGTCGACTGTTAATTTCGGCCCCCTTGAAACTGCTTACAAAATTAAATGCTCCAATGAAAGGTTCAGCTAAATTGAAGATGGCTTAGAACTCGGGTTTTTTCAAACAACAGTTAAACTTTGTTTAAATAATCAAACCGAAAAGTTTGAAAGCCACTCACCTCCGGCTCGTGGTTTACAACCCTTTCTGGAGTTTTCCCAACGGTTCCGCGGTGGTTTATTACCCAGCAAACTATTAGAAAGAGCGGTTTATTACTTAAGTAGTACATGCTTATGAAAATTTTCCTCAGCGATTGACTGCAAAGTTCCCGTCCAGTTTGCCCGCAAGTTTTGAGATTTTCATGTTTTTCAGGTCATTCTAGATTCTTTTTTGGTGTTTCAAGAAGGTTTTAGCCTGTGTTGTTCACAGCTTTTGGTTTATTATATGAACGATAACATTAAATTAGAGAAAGATGGTTTTTGAGTCCCTATGAGGAAATTTTTTAGTCCCCCTATGAGGAAGTTTGAGTCCCCACGAGGAATCGAATATCAGACCTTTGGATTCCGCGCTCCGATGCTCCGGCATCCGAAGGTCTGAGGTTCGACTCCTCATGGACTCAGAATCTTTTCTTTGTCTTACGCTCGTGACAAGACGAAAAACTTCTTTCTCTATTTCTTTACCGTGCTAAAAATTTACTATCTCTCTTATTCTATTGCAAACGTTAACTTACTAACAAACTATTTTATAATATTGACTAATTCTTCATATTAATGCAAAGCTTGACCACATTTCATTTGTCAAGAGTGAGAGGTTCCCTCTCTGATGGGTCAGAATTTTCCCTACGAATTAAAAAAAATAAAAAAAGTTGTTCAATCGCGCAGATTAATAGTTCGGTTGAAGGTACTCCCTTTCGAAAACACCACTGAAAGTCATCAATCAACCGATGAGTTATTTTAAGTCGAATGCTATAAGCCAGTTTCCTTTCGGAAAACTGATTGGTTAATTACTATTTTGCTATTGGCTGGAAGACTCAAGAAGCAGGTCTTAGTCAATTGTGATTGGTCAGTTCTAATACGTTGGTAAAATAGGGTCGTTGCGTTCGCTTAATCTGGATTTCATTACTCAGGCAACCTGGTGTTTTTCAAGAGGCTAATTACGAATTAATTCCAATAGGATTTCGAAAAAATCTACCTGACAAACTGTATTTCAGCGCTCTGTTTGCATGAGCAGTCGTGGAAATCGTTGATCTGGTTTCTCTTAAAGACCATGAGACAAGCTTACAAGAAATCTAAAATTTGTTTCTGTCCTCGTGCATGCAAGTCAAGCCAAAATGGGTCATTACAACAAAACAAATAACAAAGTATTTTAGTTCTAGTCGACCTCAGTTACTTTCCTTCCTGATTATGCCAAAAAAGAGGTTACTTGCAAGGTGCTTTTTACAAAAACAACTGGTGCTACCGTTATCGACTTGGCTACTGACCTTTGAGATAAATTTTCACGCAACGTGAAAAAACAAATCAGCACGACCTAATATGTATATGAAAAAAATAAAAACAGAACAGAAATGAAGATATTAACAGAAAAATATTTCTTAAACTTGAAGAACAAAACCTAACAGACAAAAAATCTTCTTTTCGAAAAAAAACTATCTTCTTTAAGTTAAAGTATGA